CAATTGATTTTGTGTTTTGAAAAATAATGTAAAATTTTACAATAATACATTTTTTATATGGCACATGAAATTGAAATATGGTAATTCCGATTAATTTTGTAGGTCAGTAGATGGATTAACTCCAGTTCATGTGGCGGCAGCATGGGGTAGAGTTACAGTACTTGAATTACTTTTAGCAAATGGTGGAGATCCACTTTGTTTGGATGATGAAGGCCGTAGCCCATTTCATTATGCGTTTGATGGAAAATATTATAAAGCAATTGCGATACTTGGAAAATATTGTGATAATTCTATAAAGGAAGAAAAAACAACGAAATATAAAATGACTTTTGGTATGTAAAAAGAATAAATTAACTTTGATATATTATTACATATTTAAATAATAAATAAATAAAAAATAAATTATTTTTTGTAGATAAACTTCTGATTAATAACGAAGATGTAATGGCAGAATATATTGTTCCACAAATTTCAAACATTTCTAAAGAAAATATGATAAATGAAACTATATTTAAGGGACATAAAGATGAAAGATTTGCTGTCACAAAACATGTAAATTCCTTTAATCTTAATTACAGTAGTATAAGTAATGATAATCAATCTGAAAGTGCGATGACAAGTGCAGCAGAACTTCGAATTCAAGAAGAAATGGATAAAGAAAAACATTTAATTAATGAAATTATTAATCAGCTTTCAAATTCTTTAAAATCTAATTCCAAAGAAGAAAAGATTAATGAAAAATATCGACAATGTAAAAACATTCTAGATGATACTAGCCCCACATCTACAATAAGTACTGATAATAGCATTCTATACAATATCGAAGACAAATTTCCAATAAAAATGAAAGGAAAGAAGCGATCTATTACGCCTAAATATCGGCGAGAAATTTTCAGTCAAAGCAATAATATTAAAGTTCCAATAACGCCTATATATGATCCAAATGATTCCATCGTAAGTAAATCGCCAAATTTTTTAATTAATAAATCAATAGAGAAAGGACAAAAATATTTATCTCCAAAAGTACTAAATAAAGAAATAAAATTTGAAGCTCGTACACCTTGTATAATGAGAACTCAGTCGTTTCAATCAGAAGAATTTAATATGGGAAAAGAAGTAGCAAGGTCTACCCCAAGAAGAAGGAAACGATATTATAGGCAATATTCATCTCTTAGAAAATTTAGAAGAAATAATGAACTTACGTCTTCAGAAAACACAAGCCCGGATACTACAAATTCTCTGTCACCAAACCAGAATTGCGCAAGAAATTTAAATTACAAATTTAATAAAAATCTGGCAATAAGATTACATGAAAATAAATATGATGATGATATACCAATAGATTCTAATGAAAATGAGAACAATATCGAAAAGTGTATATTAAAAAAGGATTTAACAGAAGGACTTAATCATAATTTTAGAAATTTGCGCATAAAAAAATCAGACTTTAAGGAAAAAAGTGAAGAACATTTAAAAGAACATATATTAAAAGCAGACGAAACAGATTGTGCAGTACAAAAAAGATTTTTAAATAAAGTGGAATTAAAAATCAACGATACTGTAAATACTTTTAAAGAAAATTTAAGTACCTTTCTTTCAAGGTAAAATTATTTACATTTATCTTTATCTATATATAGATATCATCCGAATAACACGGTAGTTAATTTCCGAAAAAATGCCTTGTTACGTACACTATTTCTTTTTCATAACTAATTGTAAGGCTATGCGCGTACTAATTATAAATAAAAACTATACAAAAAACTATGTTATACATAGCGTTATTAGAAGAAGAAGAAGAATTAATAATTAATTAATAATATAATTAATAAAAAATAGTACATATTAATATTATATAATATAACATAAAAAGATAGAGAAATAAGATAAAAACCTCCGCTTATAAGAGGTGACAACATTAGTTACTAAATGGTAAATATGAGACAACATATACGCCTGGTCAAATGAAGAACATCGAATGATATACCATTACGTGTCGTTTCGTACAGGGATTTCCCAAATTCTCGAAAGATGTTAGAGCGAATTTGTGTTGTAGGAGTACTGTGTTGTACGAAGGATATCTGTACGCGATAGAAAAATTTAAAGTCACCCGCTTTAATCAAAACGTAAAATTGTTTGTAACCCTGAAGATATTAATTTTTCGAACCATGTTTATCAGAACATTTTTCTTTCATTTGGCGGATACTATCTATGCTAATCGTTTTGAACCGTTTTTATCACCTTTCTTACCTTATCACCTTTTTTCTTTTTTATATCTTATCTTCTTTAGATTTTATGATAAACATATTTAGTATTTTAAGTCTGTATTTTAAGTTTAATAATAAATTAATTGCTTTCGACAGTTTTAAATCACAGTCATATATCAGTGTACAAGAGGAATATAGATATGAAGATCCTGATGAAGGCTTAGCTTTCTTGGAACGTAGGATTTACACATTATCACCATGGTAAGACATTAAGAATAATCATACCTTTATTAATAGTGATTGTAATAACTTGTTATTAATTTTTAGCAAAACTGCAGATAGTATTTCATCTGACAAAATGTGTAAGATATATTAAAATTATGTTATACTTCAATATTGAATTTATGAATTTATAATTACAATTTATAAATTTATTTAGGGCCGAAATCGTTAAATTTATCAGTGGACACATATCCAACAGATGATGCGCTACGAAAAGAACTAATTAATTATGGTGACAATCCTGGACCAATAACTAATACAACAAGACAACTATATTTAAAACGTCTGACTAAGTTAAAATGTGGGGCATATAATCCATCATTTTTTGAAGTCAATTCTGAATCTGTAACAAATACGAAAAGACAACTATATTCAAAACAACTCACTAAGTTAAAATGTGAATCACATAATTCATCATCTTTTGAAGTTAGTCATCTTCCTTTGCATAAGTCGAATTATTGTGAATCTCATATGAAACCATTTTTAACATTTGGAGATTGGATAAATGATATAGAAGAATATAAGATCATTGAAAGAAATGCGTTTAGAGACTTTTCCTTAGTAAGTCCTTCTAGGAAATGGAGAGATGGAATGAATAAAACTTGTTTTAATTATTTACTCTTAGATCCACGTATAACTAAAGACTTAGCTTTTCGTAAGAGACATTTGACAGAGTCCATGATCTGGACTACATTTCTTTCTGCTATATTTTATGTGGGTAAAGGTACACGAAATAGACCGTACTCCCACCTTAAGGATGCTTTCGCTACATGGGTCTCAAAGAAAAAACCTGAGAATGAAAAAATCCAGCATATTTTAGATATTTGGAACGCTGGATATGGAGTTGTGTGTCTTCACATTTTCCAAAACAGTATTCCAGTAGAAGCTTTCACACGTGAAGCTGCTATGATTGATGCTTTAGGAATACAAAAATTAAAAAATTGTAAAAGTGGAGATTATTATGGAATAGCAGCAACATGGAATACAGAACAAAAAGATAGCTTTGGAAGATATTTGTTATATCAAGCAATGCATATCTTGTTGTGTGAAGGAGAAAGGCAAATACTACCTCAAAATTTGTAAAATGTAAATTTTGTTTCTTCTGAGGGACCAAATATTATAATATATCAGAATGACTAATATATATATATATATATATATATATATGTATATATATATATTAAAGTTTAGGAATGTTATCGCATCGAAATAAGTGCAATAAAATGAAAATAAATATAAACATAAAATAGCCTACGACAATATTACTTTCTAAATAAAAATTTAATTAGTCTTAATATTACTTTATTGAATTAATGTTTTAAGCATACAACTACAGATATGGTCTTTCTGTTTCTACTTTCCTCAATCTCCGACGCCAGTTTTTGGGATACCATCTATGTTTTGTAGTATATGTCAATTTAGAAAGTTCTTCAACAACAACCTCTTCTTTCTTCTGCTTAAAAACCTCAGCAATTTCTTTTTCACCAATGCATAAAACAGAATTTGATGAAATTTGTTTTTCTTCTGGTAATGGTAATGAATATTCATAAGGGAATTCTCGTTCTGGATGCCAGCAGATAATCATATCTTTATTCATTGGTATAGCTATTTCTGAAGGTAATTTAACAGAACTTAGATATCGCTTGGCAGATACATTTAGTACACGCACAGTACTTAATACAGTATTCATCTGTTTAAAGAGATAGAAAGAGAAATGGAAAAATTAGTTAATATATTTTTATACTAATAATTTATAAATAAAAATATATGTAATGTTAGTAACACATCTAAGGTTATATCTTGCAGAATAACCTATAAATAATACAACAATTCTGTAAGTAAGAAATATTTGTATATCTTACTTTAAAGCGTAAATTATTGCAGAAGTGGTAAATAAATGGTATACTCAAAATGAAACGCGTATTTATAGTATATAAATATCTATAATATTTATATTATAATTGAAGTAACATATATTTAAGAAATGAAATATACAATTTGTAAATGAACAGTAGTGCCACTACACATATTGAATCCCTCGACAAAGAATAACTTGCTACATACATCAACTTTTGCATTAAAATTAAAAGCATAATTAAGCATTTAAATTACCAATCATACTGATTTTTTGTAATGTTTGATAATAATGATATTCTTATAATTTATAATATTATACCGTTATGTTCTAAAATTTTTCAAAATAAAAGATAATTTAATCAATTTCGTATTCTAAAATATAATCTATTACACATTCTAATACTATTTTACATTAATGAGGGTATATTAAAAATATTAAATACAACAACGACATACAATAAAATATTTCTATTACTAATTAAATAGCATAAATATATATAGTTATGGGATAAATTAAAATTTTGTCATACAATATCTTTTAGTATAATAGTAATCGTTAGTATAAATAATAAATTATTAGAATCTGCTAAAATATTTATACATACATTATATACATATTTAACAGACCAAGTAATGAAAGAAAAAAATATTGATCATAAAAAAATGAAAGTTCATTTTCTACTGCTTTCTATTATTTTGTTACTACTTGGCTGTTAATGTGGTAACCGCATTTAATTTAAATGTAAACAAATCTTGCAGTGCTACGAGAATGAAACATTTAAATGAAACGTTTAAGAATTAAAAAAAATTTAGATATATGTTCATATCATTAAATGAACATATGAAAAGAGATAGAAAAGACAATTTTTGTAAAAAGTAGTTTTTAAAGTGGTTAAAAAATTCATAACAAGGTGCAATAAATTGAGCTTGATCATGACGTCTACATTAAGTATTCTTGATCCAAATGATAATTTGATGAAAAAGTTTCAAAGAACACTACATGTGCATTTATTGCATGTTGATAATAAACTTTCAGAAGAAATACTCGATCTTGTAAGTAACTGACTACACAAAATATAATAAATAACAAATATTTTGTATACTTTATGCTATTATCTTTAACAATGATTTTATTATAACATTTCAAAATATATTTTATAATTTTAATACAAGGATATAAAATATATTTTGAAATGTTACATTCTATAATATTTTGTTATAACTTAACGGCATAAGGTTAATTATAAATATTTTTAGGAAGCGTCAATAAAACATGCAGAAAAAGAACTAGAATCAGAAGCTATACAACTTTATCAAAAGCAAGAAGAAGTTCAACATCAGCATATAATATTAAAACAATATATAGAGGCACTATCAAAAGTTACATTATTAAGAGAAAAAAGGAATAATAGTATAGAAAATGCTAAGGATATTTTAAAAGAAAACTATTCAAAGTTAAAAGGAGAGAAAGATAAAAAAGAAAAATTATGTCAAAAATTAAAGAATTTATTGGAATTTTATTCTTACTTGTCCAAATGGGAAAAGGATTTGAACGACCATTTAATAATATCAAAACAAGTGTCATTACAAGATGTTAGTAAAAATAAGATACTGATTAAAAGAAAACAGCAAAGAGACTTTATATTATATCGATTGAAAGAAGAAATATGGAAAATTGAATCAGAAATAGCCTACATTGATGAACAATTACAAATTAAAGACAAAGAAAAGCAAGATGCTAATAGAATGATAATTGATGCAAATACAGATTTAGAAACTCTACATATGGAACATAAAGATCTGTATAATATATGGAAGTCTGTGGTAACTAATATTTCTAAAAGAAATAGTATTCATGATCAGTTAAATTTTGAACAAAAGTAAGTATTGCAGTAGATTTAATACTTCTCCGTATGAATCTATGATGATTAGGGATATAATATAAAATTTACTGTGGTAATCTTACATTTGGTTATATATTTGAATTATATTTGATTGACATACTGGTGAGGCCAAAAGTTATGTACAACAAGCGGGCACGTGGTGATTTCTTATTTAAAAAATAAAAGAAAGATATGGAATAACATTTTTTCGTTTAAGGCTTAGTTCTTGAGAAAATCGAGTTTGAAAATTTATGAAGTATACTTGAACATGACTAGTTCCGGACTGGACAGGACTGAACAGTCGACAAAAGGTCATTCCACATGTGAAAATAAATCGGAAGTGTAGAATAACATTTTTTTCACAAGACGCTTTGTTTCCGAGAAAAGTAGATTTAAAAATTTATCATATGCGTGTAGCAAATCGATTGTTAACTAAACGTTTCCAAATATGTTTGCATTTCAGTATAGTTAAACGGGAAAATTTTTGTCTACATTATTTACATATATTCGCATTTAAAATAACATCCTGTTGATTTTTTACTCATATTCAGTCGGTAATTAGTCAAATTCAAGAACAATTAATTTATTGCCAACTTTTTATATAAGAGAACATGATATGAAGTTGTAACATTTCATCTCAAGTTCATTGAAATATTTATCTTTTTAGAGAAGCACATCAATTATACAATGGATTATTATTAGAAATACAAAAAATAAGGAAAGAAACAGAAAAAGAAATGGAGAATAATGAACATCTGACATCTTTATCCTTTCGAATAGAAAACGATATTAAAATTACATCAAGAGCAATATCAAAATATAATGAAAATATTGCAAACAGTAAATCAGAATTACTAAATCTTACAAAAATAAGTGAACAAACAGAATACGATTATAATGTTATATTTAATGTATGTTAGACATGCTATAATTGTTAAATGCTAATATAAAACATGCTATAATTCTAATTGATTTTATTCTTAACTAACATCATTTCAGAAATATCAGAATTATTTATATGAAGAAGAGCAAGTGAATAAAAAGTTTGAAAATATTTTTGAAAAAAGAAATAATCTAGAGGATGCTATATTTAAAAAGTTGGAAGAAAAAGTTATATGCAATAAGGCGACTCAATATGTAAATGAGTTACTAATAAATACAAAAAATGCTGTATTGCAATCTGAAATTTCAGTTGCACGTGTAGAGAATACATATGGAAACAATCTTCTGCAATTGGAAAAGCTTAAAAATCTTATTGAAAATAAAAAAGCAGAATTGCATGAACTGTCGCAAATAAATACTGGGAAAGAAAAGCAAATAGATGAATTGCAAAAGGAGACAAGAAAATATGAAGTAATGATGGGAAAAGCGCAAACAAAGCTTTTAGGAATAAATAAACTTCTTGAGCAGGTTATATATTGTCTCTTTTTATTTTTGAATTCAGAAAAAATGTAATAAAAAAGTCATATATATTTACAAGCAAACAATTTCAGATACTACCAAGTACTAATGCAGAAGAATTGAGTCCATTAGATATAAAGATTGTCGGTTTAGAAAAAAATATTCAAGAATTTCAACTAAATATTAAAAAGACACAACAATTTTGGTTGCGTCAACAAGGTTTTGTGGTTTCATTAAGCCAACAAAGAGAATTGCAATTGCAAGAAATAAATTTTCTTCAAAAAGAAGTTATGATAATGGGGCAAAAGAATTTTAAATTGGAATATGCATTAGAAATGCTTACAAAAGAACAAGCAAATGTAAATAAGGCTGTAATTTCTCTTGATCAAAAGTTATCCCGCATAAATTCAAATTTAATGGTACAAAAAGATCTGAAGAAGGGCTTGGAGGATAAAAATTGTATAATAAAGAATGAATGTCTTTTGTCTTTTCAAGAATTGGAATTAGAACTTATAAAATTACAAAGTGATTTAAAATATGTATGCACTGAGAAAGTAATGCTAAAGGAGGAATTAAATTCTGTAATACAAGAAAGTTTAGCATGGAACAAAAAGGTAATTGGTAATTTATATTATTTTATCATTTATTTCTTTATTGTCATAATATTTATGTCATTAAGGTACAACTGATACAAGATACAATTAAAAATGTAAAAGAGGAGCAAAATACTGGAAGTATAGCATCAATGAAAAGTGAAATTCATAGAATGGAAATGAGACTTTCCTATTTAAAGAAGATTCAGGAAAAATTAATTCATGATATGAATCTTTGTATTACAAGAAGAGATATTATAGTTGACAAAGTGTTTGGTAGACTTAAAAGAAATTCAAAAGTAAAACATAATGAGAAGGTTGTAATGCACAAACGTTTGTCTGATCAAAGAGCAAAAATTAAGCAACTTTTAAAAGTAAGCATTAAGATAATTGTTTTGTTTTAAATTAGCAAATTATATGTTTTATTATTAACAGATAAAGAAACAAACTATTAATATGATAGAGAAATTAAACAATCAAGTAACAAGTATTCAAGATAAATTAGTCAAGTGTCAAGAATTTTTGCGAAATTTAAAAGAACATGTTAACACCGTGGAAAACGAAATTGAACGATTGGAACTGCTTAAATATCATGTATGTTTCTAATTGTATCACATTAGATAACATAATTTACTAACTATTCAATTCTATTTTCCAATTTTTAGAATTTACATAGTTTGGTCCTTAAACAAAGAAAAGTAAAGCAATTATATGATATTAAAAATGGCATATATAAAATGATTTATAAAAATGAAAATATAATAGAAGAAAATTTGCAAAAAGAACACTATTGCAGAGAATATCTAAAATGTACATTAGAAAGGACTGACCATGACTTTCCAATGTTAAAAAACAGAATTAAAAAAGTATTAGTAACTCTGCAAATTATATAAGAGAATAGCTGACTGTGTAAGATAAGATAAGCGCATGATTATTATGTTATCATTCAATAAATACTTCATGCAATGGGACAAAGTTCTAGTAACTATTTTAAGAAAACGTTTTATATCAAGCTATATGCAAGTTGTAGACAATAAGCTAAATATACAATTATATTGTTAAATAAAAGAAGTAGAGAATTTTATGCAAAAAATATTACGATTGATAACAATAGGGAATCTGAAGCTAGATGGTAAGAAACTTTCATTTATAAAATATACACAAAATAATTAAACCAGTTTTTTTTTTGCTATTTAAAACGTTAAATCGATTTTGTAAATTTTATTTTATGCGATAAGTAATATCGTAAAAAACCTACTCATTTCTATTTTTATAATGGGAGCAATAAAATTTATTGTCAATACTTTTAACGTGAAATAAAAAATACGAAGAAGTATGTTCAAGACTAAAAAATTTTTCAGAATTATATAAATTAAAATAAATAAGTAAATTAAAAACTGTATTTCTGAGAAACAGAAAAAAAGCATTGATTTATATGATTATGAATAATCATAATAATCAAGTTAATTCTTTTGCATATTTAGTGAATTAAAAAAAAAAGAAAAAAATGAAAGAAATTAATCTTGGAATTTCACAACAAACCTTGGTGTCCAATGATGATCAAAGTGTGCCAGCTAAGAGATTGCTTCAATATGTTGCAAGTTTGGCAGCAAATCTTGGAGCCTTAGCAGCTGGAATGACATTAGCATGGACTTCCTCTGCTGGTGATAATGGAAGAGACTTACAATCTTTATATGGTATACCTATTTCTCCAGAAGAATTTTCATGGATTAGCTCAATAACTGCAATAGGTTCAGTAGTAATATGTATTCCTATTGGAATTCTTGCTGACATGATAGGAAGAAAATTTTCAATGCTTTTGATGGTGATACCTTTTACCTTAGGCTGGTTACTTCTAATTTTTGCCAACAATCTAATCATGTTTTATGCTGGTAGATTCATCACTGGTCTCAGTGGTCCAGCTTTTTCTGCGGTAGCACCAATATACACAGCAGAGATAGTTGAGAATGAAATTCGTGGAGCTGTTGGATCTTACTTTCAATTGCTTCTCACTACAGGCATTCTTTTATCGTATGTTTTGGGAACTTTTGTTGATATGCGTGTACTGTCAATTATATCTGGTATTATACCACTTATATTTTTTGGAGTTTTTATGTTTATGCCAGAATCACCAGTCTACTATTTAAAAAAAGGTGATGAAGACTCTGCTAAGAAAAGTTTAACTAGATTGCGCGGTATTCAGTACAATATCGAAAATGAGTTACAAAATCAAAAACATGCATTGGAAGAATGCAATCAAAATACAACCTCTTTTTGGACTATAATCAAATCTAGAGCAGCTTTAAAAGGCTTTATAATTGCTTATGGTCTTATGTTTTTTCAACAATTATGTGGTGTAAATGTTGTTATATTTTATACTAATAGCATTTTTGAAAAAGCTGGCAGTGATTTAGACCCTCATTATTCAACTATTGTAATAGGTGCAATACAAGTATTAGCTGTCTTTGTGAGCACATTAATTGTAGACCGTATAGGCAGAAAAATATTACTATTAACATCTATAATATTTTTGGCTTTAACAACTTGCGCCCTTGGAGTTTTTTTCTACCTTCTTGAAAACCAGGGAACTTCAATTACATGGTTACCTCTAACGTCTCTATGCATTTTTATTATTATGTTTAATATGGGTTTTGGTCCAGTTCCATGGTTAATGATGGGTGAAATTTTTGCACCAGAAATTAAGGGTGTAGCTGTAAGTAGTGCTTGCCTTTTAAATTCGGTATTAGTTTTCATTGTAACTAAATTTTTTATTAATGTTTCCATGGCAATTGGTACTGGTGAAACATTTTGGTTATTTACCGTAATTTGTGTTATTGGAACTTCCTTTGTGTATTTATTAGTTCCTGAAACAAAAGGAAAGTCTTTAGAAGAAATCCAAAAAGAATTGAATGGCTCCTAAATAATGTTATTATTTAAAAACTGTTTGTCTACAATAGTCCACTGATGGTGGGTTTAATATTATTTCAAATTACAAGTTATTAGTTTATATAAAAGCACAACAAAAGAAAGTATTAAAAAGCTGTAGAATAAAATATTGTAACAAAATAAATATGTATACACCTATAAAACAATTTATAATAAACAATTAAAATATAAACATTTTGCAAACGATTTAAGATTACTTTATTTGAATATAAATTTTGAAATAAATTCAAGTATACAACAGACTGTGGTCCAATATGTTAAGCTTAAAAGTTATATATATGTATATATATATGACTTCTGTATACTGAATACACTTTAATTTGCATTGTATAAATACAGTTTTTGCACAAATTTTATTTTGAGAAAGACCGGTTTTGTAACCTATTTTTATCTTATATATTTTAGATGTGTAAAATTCAAACATAGCAGACTTAAGGCAAGGAGAATCGCTGTTTTAAAAGTTATGCGCATCGAAAATTTGTACTATTCAGCAAAAATTATCAGATGATATAAAAGAAAGTTGTAAACTCGGTGTAAACCTGTGAATGAGAAGTTCAATCCATTACGGTAGCATAACAATAATTTGTATGTACCTACATGTATGTATCTATATGTAAATTCGCATGATGCTTCAAAATACATAATAGCGTTAGTAATTATCCAAATCTAGTTATGGTCGTGTATACATTACTTCTCTGAGATAAGCTTTTGTTGATAAGGCAAACAAAAAATATGACAAGCTGTTATAAATTTCTTTTTACAACTGTATATGTACAAATGTATATATACAAAGTACATTCGAATGTCTCCAAATTGTTAAGAAATGAAATTTGCAGGCCTCAAACAGAAGGTACAAATCTTGAGAATGTATGAATAAAATTAGAAAAAGATCTGACTACGTCTGCAGGATTGATAGCACATCAAGAGCAATCTACATATTGCTTACGCAAGTTACAGAAATATTCGAACGCGTATTTCATAATGAATAATATGATGAATAATAATTCTTAAACATGGCTACAAAGAGATCAGAAACCTGTAAGTGCGAGCGTTAATTGATAGTGAAATTACATCAAGAAGGAAAATTTCATCAAGAAATTACGAATCTCCTAAATAGAGCAAGTTGCCTATACATTATCTTTTTTTTTTTTTATATTTTACGTGGAGGAAATCCGCACGGACGCCAGGCCGCTTCTGGAGAAAGCGGCGTGGTAGTGTCGGACTCCAACCGACTAAAACCTCCACGATAATCACCCCGGCTGCGATCGAGAGAGGCCCGGGAATCGGTGTGAGCGTCGCAACGGGGCCTCTGCCCCGCGCGCCTAATACCACCGCTGATGGGGCCGGTGTGTGACCATTGTCACACAGCGCCTCGTCGCTGGAGCCGCCGTGCCAGGCAGCCCGGTTCCCCTACCGGACTGCTTGGCGGCCCCGAGGCGCTGAGCCATCCAAATACTATCCGTGCCCGGCGCTGCTTAACTTTCGTGATCTGACGGGAACGAGTGTACTCAGCGCGGCCAGGGCGTTGGCGCCTATACATTATCTAATAAACTCTGAAGCATTTTAATTGAATAATGAATTGGAAAACAGAAAGCGTTTTACGTTATCAGTTGGAAAAAGCCTAGACACTTCAAGCGCAACGAGAAGTCTAATCTCTAATGTTTGTTGTCTGATATATAATAATATATCCTCACTATTAACTGACAAATTTATTTTATTTATCTATTTACTTTATATCCAGTTGAGTTAGTTGTTAATAGCTAATGTTAGTAAAAATATATCTAATTAGTGTTCATCACAATATCAAAGAGCCTGGCATTTTATACTTCAGAAATGTTTCTTTTCATGGCAACAAAAGTAAGCGTGCAAACAAACGAGTGATTACAACTAGTTATCAACGATGACTAATAATTATAACATTTAGTCGATAAAATCATGATAAAATCTGTTATCAAAATTCCTTTGTTGTAGAATGTTGTAGAATTTGTATGTTGCTGTAGAATTTCTATTTACAGCACCATAGATTCACCCTATTAAGATCCATCAGTAATAACACATGACATTACAAATTCTTTGAATCTTAATCAACTTTGATTTTAACTAATTTATCTAAAATAAGGTAAGTCATGCAGTGGGGTTATACAGGATTATACAGAGTGTCATCTATTTGATTATAGGCGCAAAAGTTATACATATGAGTAACTGAATTCAAAATTTAATATAAATTTAATATCTTTTTACGTGAGTTCAGTTTAGATAGTGTTTATAAATATATTAAGTATGTAACTACTTGAGAGTATCTCAAGTACCTTGTGAGCGCACTCGAGAATGAAGTGTTGGATCTGGTTGAATGACTACTCGTCTGCTGCAATGAAGCATAATTTACAACAAGTCAGCCAGCGATAAACGATGCAGTTTAAAGATCTGCAAAAAACAACTTAGTCAGCGTGTACTAACTTTCTAAAAGTTAGTAAAGATTCGAAACCGAAAAATTGTTTAATTTGAAATTAATTAACGAAAACGGTCGTTTGGTTGCTTTGCGTTAGAACAACGATGCGTGGGCGTATATCAAAACTGCAAAAGAGACCAGGGATGTTATGCTATATCTCAATAGTTGATATTTTTTAAAGTAATTACCAACATAGCACATGATAAGCAACAAGAAAATATTGCCAGCCGTTTTTCTTAGAATTTGAAACGTGCCTAAAGTTGGATTTTTTACAATTATCATAATTAAATGGCTATTTTTGTAACTTCAAATTAGGATCTCCTTAATACTAGTATACAATTACAAATACTAGTATAAAATTGCATCCAATTACGCGGTAATATGTGATTCGCGTACTCTTTATATCTCTGTGCTTATGTCACTAGCCAATTCGATATTTATATCTGTTGTCATATGAAAGGGCATTGTCGCGTCACATAGTCGCCTCTATAGAGAAAAATATAAGCCCCAATAAACGGTGGTTAATCGTTTCTTGGTTTTTGTCTATGCCATTTATTTAAATAAATGAAACATTGAGTTTTATTTACAATTAAGAGGTGACACATACAGACTTCTCTACAGACACACCTTTCTTTTTCGTGAATTTGAATTACATTAAAGAATAAGTTTTCTTTTCCTCCCGAAAAATTGTTTTCTGGCACTTACAATGTTTGCTACAGACACTCTTCATTTTCGTTCTTGTAAAATTTAAGTTGTTGTTCAAGTTGTTGTTTTAAAATATTTAAATAATTCAAATGTAAGTTGATTGATTTTATATTACATTTGGAGTTATTATCGAAGCCATCACGAGCCAAACGGATCAGCGTTCCACGGGCATCCGAACTCGCTCCAAAATATCGACTTTCTAACTAGGCCGCAACAGTAACAGTTTCGCTGACAGTAATGGGATACGCAAAATATCCGTGGAATCTCGAAAAGGCGGCGAAACACTTGAGGATCGATGGCGAGAGGGAGCTTTCCCCTATTGCCGGCTGGTGAGAGGCTTCTTGCGAAGATGCAATCTCTTCCTCTTGAATTTCCGCACGGTTTCCCCTAGAGCGAATGTAAATATTCATATTCATATTACATTTCCTGGCTACCACATGACATACACCCGAGTATCCTGATCCATTCCCTGGTCAGTCATCGAGACATTGAACGATTGGATTTCTTGGCAATTATTGGCGGACTATTGCGATCTGCGACCTGCGACCTGCGACCTGCGACCTGGTATCCAAGCGCTGAATGAGATCAACATCTGGAAAATTGGACTCAACTGGACTCCAAAATAGCTTGCGTATAAAATAAGTACCACCTGATTAGATTGTAATCTGTAAACTCTCTCCTGTCTATCGTGTATTCTATGAAACATAATTATTTTTGTAATCAAATTTGTTAGGTTGTATGAGCAAATACGGTAAGTTTATATACGATATACGATAAGTTTTAAGAAATGTAAAAATAGTCGTAGTTTAAGATTTAATATTTCATTTTTTGATGTCGAAGATATATTTTTTGAAACCATGCGAGTCGAATCTTATGCGAGTCAATCACAATTTTCAGAATTTAGTTTTTTGTCAACATAAGCAAGTAGCTTCATCGTTGATCTACCCGAAATGAAGAACCAATTACCTTATCCAAACATGGTTGTTACTGCTAATCCCGAATTTTCTACTGACGTATCGCAGCCTCAAAAATCAATCTTCGTGACAACGCAAATGGACTCTCCTGTTGTTAAATTGCCTAAATTCGACAGTCAGTCGCCTCATTCAAAGATGGTTCCTCAACAGAATGCTGTAAAGTCATTGAATACCTCTTTTTTAAATTTTACCTCGCATTAAAATTAATGAAGGACTCAATCCCGAGTAATGTAAAGCCAGAATTGGTCGATCCTTTGCAAATGATTAACTTGTTTCATCATTGTTTCCAAGAAAGGTTTGCCAATTTCCTTATTGACGCTGGCTCGCAACTTAATATAACGAAGCAAAACGGTAAATACTAATATCGACTACAATCTACTACAATCTCACAGGCATTGATTCAAGAATCATACTTACTTGTGACGAAATCATTGTTAAAAAGTTCATTATGTCGATGTAAACTTTCAAATTGTTAATAATGAATTTTCCATTGCTGAGACACGAATCTTAGAAATGCCGTTTTCAGAAAGTCGAAATGCGATGTTGAAATTTAGGAACGATGAGGCGAATAGTCTTCAGATTGGTGATAAAGAATTTCTCCTGTTTTTATCGTCTCCCGACGAATTCTTCTCGAGCTTGACTTACCTCCTCGTACCACAACCCTTATAGCCTTGCTTGTCAAATAATCTAAAATCAAAGTAGGAGACGTAAGCCGCAATGATTCGGCTGTTTATATAAGGTTTATATATATGATACAGCACGGAAGAAAGAAAACGGATTTGCCATCCCGAATAAGGCCAAAAGCTCAATTAAAAAGATCGACTCGGGAAAATTTAACGTAACAATATACACTGATGCATCTATGTACATTCGGTTAGGATGCAGTAAACGGAGACAAAAAAAGCCTATGGTTTCTGAAATAAATCCCTATAAAAGAAGCGCATAAATTATTTAGAACTTTTAACGATTGAACCAGCTCTACGAGAATTGACCGCGGAGAGGACGCAAGAAGTTTATGCTAATATCCGGATGAGAACAGCAGAATACGGATTGAGAACGTTCTTCAAGTAGCGAAGATCGTACCGTGCGAACCTGATAAAGATAAATTCATGTCAACTAACGAGGAGGAAGTGTAACAATTTTGAAGAAAAGATGATGAGTATACCTCTATATAACTTATTGGAGCTAGATAAGGTGACGTCAGAAAATAAAAGCGTAAACTACAGTTACGCATGCAACTTGTATAAAAATATTTACTTAAGAAATTTAATTTCTTGTTTAATTTTGATCTTAAGCTTGTATTTTTTATGTAAGTTTTCTGTATAAAAAATATTTGTAACTGAATAAGTAAATAAAATTATACTTAAATAAATAAACAAAAAAATAATTTTACTCTATTTATGGAAAAAGGACACATAAATCAATTTTTTAAAGCTTATTAATAAAAACGCATATCATCTTTTAATTATTATTTTTGCTTTCAGAACGTTTTAAGAATATATTAATACACCTTTAAAAATTTGGATTCAATTACTTTTCAGTAAGTAATACCATAATGAAAACTTTAAAATCAATTTTCTTAAAATGGGATTTTGGCATACATGCCCTTTTTTTTTATCAAACTTCTCAATTACATAAACAGAAATTTTTCAAAAGATCATTTCATTCATTCTCGGAACCATCATACTTGGAGAACCATGTTCGAACTATGGATTCTGAAGGTAAAATCAAACCCACATTTCGCAATTTAGTATAGTTAGTTGGAGACTGAAAATAAATTTGTTTCGCTAACTCTTTCTCGTCGTCTGTATATTGAGTCTTTTTTGTACGCAACTGTAGTTTAATTATAGTCTTCGCCGTCGGACCTACATTCTTAGCTAGTTTATTCGTTACTAAAAAATCATCAATATTGCGAATTTTTTGGCTTAGTTGCTTTTCTAATTGCTTGCGTACATATGAATATTTACTTTGTACACATTTTGCTCTCTTTTCCAATCGCTTTACCTTTATCTGTAAAAGATTTATTTTTTTTGTTAAGGAATCAACCAATATTTTACATTCTTTGGAGCATCGAAAATCTTTTTTTGATGCAAACGAAACAACTGTCAAATTTTCGCAAGGTGTAGGTGCTTGTGCATCTAATTCGTAATTTAAAAATGACAAATCGGTATCATCCGAAGCAGTGTTAAGGAACAATTCTTTCCCCGAAGGACATAAATTAAGGTTTGACTGTTTTCTAATACTAAAATCGTCGAGGTTACTACAGTAAACATTTTCTTGAAGATTCTTATCACAGTTAATACTTTCTTGAAGATTTTTATCACAGTTAACATTTTCTTGAAGATTTTTATCACAGATTTCTCTTGGACTTGGTACTTGTTCTTGAAGCTTCTGCACTTCTTCTGTTCTTCTGTTCTGTTCTTCTACTGCTACTTCTGTGGAATCCCCTGATTCTTGCGGTTCAACAATCGCCTGTGTCTGCCCATGGGACGTCGATATTTCCTTCCAATGGATTGGATCACGATTCCGAAGCAAACGCTTTTTCGTTCCGTCGCAAAAATCTTCCTCTCGGAAATGAAGATCGCAAAGTCCTGCAGTCCTGATCGTGGAGGTCGACAAGAATCGAAGCCAACTATTTCCTGCGTGAATTTTAGTAGTGTTGAATTCTGAATGCATAATTTTCGCGAGAAGCTATAAATTTATTTTACAAACATCTTAATATAATAGACAGTCATATAATTTGATATATGTGACAGTTAAATAGCAAAGCGTGACAGTTTTTTCTACTGCGGCATTGCACGCAATATGGCCATCCTTTAAGCAACTTTTATTCGCAATAAATTGTTAACTTAATTTTAGAACACGGAAACTAAAACTCCGACTTAAATCTTCAACTAAAATTCCTCTCAGTCCTTAGAACAAATTATTATTATTTATATTTATGATTAAACAGCGAGTAATGTCTTAATGCCGTGTAAAATTATTATTTAAACAAAGTGGAAAGGGGGTATATAAGGATAATGGTTACTGCAGAGAGAGAGAGAGAGAGAGAGAGAGAGAGAGAGAGAGAGAGAGAGAGAGAGAGAGAGAGAGAGAGAGAGAGAGAGAGAGAGAGAGAGAGAGAGAGAGAGAGAGAGAGAGAGAGAGAGAGAGAGAGAGAGAGAGAGAGAGAGAGAGAGAGAGAGAGAGAGAGAGAGAGAGAGAGAGAGAGAGAGAGAGAGAGAGAGAGAGAGAGAGAGAGAGAGAGAGAGAGAGAGAGAGAGAGAGAGAGAGAGAGAGAGAGAGAGAGAGAGAGAGAGAGAGAGAGAGAGAGAGAGAGAGAGAGAGAGAGAGAGAGAGAGAGAGAGAGAGAGAGAGAGAGAGAGAGAGAGAGAGAGAGAGAGAGAGAGAGAGAGAGAGAGAGAGAGAGAGAGAGAGAGAGAGAGAGAGAGAGAGAGAGAGAGAGAGAGAGAGAATGGGGAAGATTGGAGAGGATAAGACTATCCAGATACAATGAAGAATATAGAAGACTGGTACAGACAAATTGTCAGAATATCTGAAGGGTTTGAGAAAGAAGAAGGAAACATTCCTAGTTACAAGATTTATATATATTGGGTTTAAGTTTGGGTCAGATTTCTCAATCCGACTGCCGCGAACAGCGCTTGTGTAGAATACATGTAAAAATGATTATCCTATTTCGTAAAATAATATCAATTATTCATCCGCCTATTATTTTTATAATTAATTTGTTATTATCTCAAGCGCGTGTTGCCGATAATCGCAAGGCGTCCGGATTGAAGATTCTGACCCAAACCTAAGCTCAATACATTAATGATATTCACTTTCAATTGAATTATGAGTTATATGTAACAAACATTTGTTGTAGCCGCACATATGCAGTTGTGTACGGGATTTAAGCTCGCTAAACCCTCGTTTACATATACATTTTTACCATAAACAAAAGATAAGGGCTAAGTTTCGATCGGGTCATTATACTCGTTCACCGCAAGACTATCAGCAACCAATACTACTGCATACGTTGTCACAGACGCACAGCTATAAGCGGAATTCACTGTAGCGGCACTGAAAGTTTTTTGCAAATATCTGGAAAACAACGGTCGACCAACAGTTACATGTGCAGGAAAAAGTTGTTCGGAATCATGCCCCCGACCCATATTCAAAAATCATCAAAAGCGGAAAGGACGTAACTGTTCCACAGTTTCATCAAAAGTGAATATCATTAATGTGTTGAGTTTGGGTTAGTTTTTTCAAGTCCGGCCGCTGTGGGACGGCCCTCCCGTACGATAATGACGAATTATGTTGTCAGGTTATCATCTGAACCTATAGTTGCTGAAAAAACTAATTAAGGTTTTGAGAAAGCTAACTCAACCCAAATGTATTGATAATATTCACTTTTACTTGAATTATGTTATAACACATTTCTTACAGTCTCGTATATGCACATTGTGCACGACTTTAAGCTCGCCCGATCTTCGTTTATAAACGAAAGATGAGAGAACGGCAACCAATGCTGCCATACGTATACGCTGCCATAGACGCACAACTATAGGCAGAATTCACTGTAATGGTGCCGATAGTTTTTTTGCGAATATCTTAGAAATCAAAGCCAATCGGCAGTAACATGTATAGGAATGAGTTATTCAAAACGATATACTATTGCCCACCACGTATTAAAAAATCATCGAAATCAGGAAGATTGAGTTCGATCTGTACATTTACCAAAACTTTCAAATTTCAAGGTGAATATCTCCATTTCAGTAAGACTGGGCTTTTTTTTAAAATTGAATTATGTATAGATAACATACTAAATAACGCACTCTCAGAATTTCAAAAAAGATTGTGAGAAAGTCCAATATACGTTACAAATACCTTAATAGAAACCGAGCAGCAAAAGCTACGATCCGCCGAACAAAAAGATTGGAATTGTCAAATTACAAATGATTTGCACTCTGTTGAATCATCAAATCATATTGGTTAAACCTTAATTTAGGAATTAAAAAGGTTATTGATTTTTTTGCAATCTTGTAGTTTTCAGCGTGTAGTATCTTAAAATGCAAGTTCTAAGGCGAGGAATCCATTGGTTCCAAACTTATGGTATGACTATGTAAAACTGAACATTTTTATTTTACATATTACCTTAACGCCAATTTCCTCCTGTCTGCGCAGATGAGCATCGAACTGAATTTCATAGAAAGTTCGTTTGTACTAGCGTAAACAGTAAACGGTAGCCGGAGAGCGTAGATTGGCCAGAACCTAATTCAAGTGAATTCAATACTCACGATTCAAAATCCCGTCACAAAATAGTCGCCATCCACGTGCATTTATTTACAATTAACGACTCCACTCATTGGACGAATCATGTATAAAGGAACAATATGGCGTCAAAATAACGTGTAAAGTGCCCTAAAGTGTTGCTCGGTTTTTACTTTTGAAACAATCATAACTTTTGAAGCAGTGGATTTCTCGTCTTGAAATTTGCATTTTCGGACTCTACACATTGAAAGCTATAAGATTGCAAAAAAGGTCAATAAGTTTTTGGCTCTCTAAAGTAAACTCTAAAGTAAAGTTCAGCCAAATAATAATTTAATAAAAGTATAAATATTTTTTACCTACCTGCATTTTCTATCCATTTTTTCTGTCTTTCTGGTTTAGATGGAAATCGAAACAAACGGTGTCCATTGTGCCTTCCGTTGTTACAATGAACAAATTTACATCTATCATAAGTACCGTGTCTATGCATTGTTACTGCTGTTTTTTGAGTTATAGCAATCGATTGTAAGAAACAAGAAGAAACTTAATATTAATCACTAAAACTAAGGAACCGAAGCAACGTGTCTACCTAAACTGCAAGGATTAATAATCCACAAAAATGAACTACGCTTCCTTGCACCTGTAATTGTTCACTGTATATTTTTTTATAAAGACACTAATAAAAACACGATTCAATTGTACGATTTTGGACGATTCACGATTGCACACGTATTCTAACCACGGCCATATAAACCGTGGTTCCGATGATCAAAAAATTCTAAGCTTCACAGTACGAACGGATATTTCATCTCTCATCGTTTCTTAGATTTGCATAAGTTTCTGTTACGAAGGAAATAGCGAAGAAAGAAATGTACATATAATAGTTCGAACGTTTGACCGCTAGAGGCAGTAATTCGTAGTACGTATGCGGGTAGTCTACATACACTAACTATTCTTTTCCTACTCTTTCCGAATCAACGAAAAGAAATGATTATTAGAAACTTGGTTTCAACAATAATAAATAACAAATAATTTATTGAACAAGCAAACAAACTAGAAAAATTCTCTGCGCCAAAACTTTCTTTAGTTTTGATTGGTTGGAGCGGTTGGTTTCCTGAAATGGCTGGAGCGGAATGGTTCTTCATTTGCTTAAAGCAAAATTGAAATTTATTTCGGTCAATGAACTTTACTGTTTCTGTTTCTATTAAATATAGTTCTGTTTCTATTAAACTATTACTGTTTCATAGCAGATAATCATAAATGTATAAAAGAACTATGTTTAAAACTCTTTCATTAATCTTAATCTTTCATTAAGTTTCGCTTCCTTTTTTACTAGACTTGTCCCTTGATATAATATTATTAAAGCAGTTTTTCCTAGATATTTTCTTATGGCATCTGAAATTTAAATTTAATAAAAACGTTAGCTTCTCATCTCTAGCCTAACATAAACACGGGTTTGAGATGCTACGTAAACCACTTTTATGGGGTCTAGACTAGGGATTAATGCATTATCTTTTATTACTAGATCCTAAGTATTGTTAGCTATCCACAGTTATAGTTTATTTCATCTTTAATGATAAGAGGCTTCAAGCGCGGGAAAACAAGTGTTTGATGTTCTTTCTTCATTTCAGAAACGTATCAGAAATATACAAAGGACAATGTCGAGTCCTATGAGATTATCAGATGCAGATAGTCCTGGGAGAACTCCTAGAAGACAAAATCAAGATACTAGATCCCCTTCTGCTTTTGGTACTCCCCGTAAGTATATATAATGTATATTTTAAAGGTTATTTTATGTTCACACTTATAGTGCTATTGTATGTGTTACATATATTATTATATTACGATATATAAGTATTTATTCTATAAACTTTGTGTATAAGGTAATTCTGCCCGTAATGGAGCTGATAATAATGTGGAAACTCCGTTAAGATGGGGCACCACTGGTACACAACAAAATACTTTAGGTTCTGGAAACCGGGCTGCAACAATTGTTGCTTCTTCTGAACATGAAAGTGCTGTTGGTTCTGGTGATCAATTTATAGACCACTCTGGGCCAATTAATGGTTCAGAAAGTGGTCTACAATTATCTTCTCCGATTAATTATGGTACACCAAGCTCGCTGGGGTCAATACGTACCCCAAGAAGTGGAATCCGAGGCACTCCAATTAGGCATAGACCTGACATTAATACGGACAGGCGGTTGCGTCAATTTACGTTACAAGAAACAGTGAGTTAATGATATGTGATGTTACGGTTGTTCTTTAATTTAGAAACTTGAAAAATACTTAATTTTTGTGAAATGGCATAATTTTTTTTTATAGTTAGTCAAATTTTGTTTTATAGTTAATTTTAAAACTGTTTTATAAATTTATTATACGCAGATTATACTTTTAAACTTTATACCATTATGGGAAATCCTAAATAAGTTATAATATTTTAAAAAGGTATTATAGTTACTTTAGAAGGAATAAAATTTAAGTTTAGATAAATGAAAATAAAAGTTTATACTTATATATTAATTTTATCTATCAAAATATTTGATAATATTAAATATTAAACATTAATATCATATGTTAATGCCAAATAATAAATAAATAATAATATTGATATTGGTGATATTAATTTAGTGATAATGCTAATAACCAGAACAATAAATTAAAAATGACGATGACAATAGATTGCAGAAGCACCAAATGGTACATCAGAAAGTGATACGGCAGGAGCTCATTTGGTTGTTTGGGGGACAAACATAGTAATAAATCAGTGTAAAGAACAATTCAAATCATTTTTTCAACAATTTATTGACCCAGATGCAGAAAATGATGAACTACCAGAAAATATGAATCTGTCAGAACCTTTGTATCTTCAAAAATTAGAAGAGATACATACCTTGGAAGAACCATATTTAAATGTCAATTGCGCTCATGTAAAAACGTTTAATGAACATCTTTATCAACAATTGGTTTCATATCCTCAAGAAGCAATTCCAACATTAGATATGGCAGCAAATGAATTATTCTTTGAAAAATTTCCAGCAGCTGTTCTGGAGCATCAAATTCAAGTACGTCCTTTTAATGTGACCAAGGTTAAAACTATGAGAGAACTAAACCCTACTGATGTAGATCAATTAATTACAATACCAGGAATGGTAATTAGAGTATCAAGATTAATTCCACAAATGCGAGAGGCTTATTTTAAATGTAGCGTTTGTGCTTTTACAACCATTGTAGAAATTGAAAAAGGGAGAACCAAAGAGCCTACAGTATGTGCACATTGCACTTATAAATATTCTTTCACTTTAGTACATAATTTGAGCCATTTCTCTGATAAACAAATGATTAGATTACAAGAAGCTCCAGATGAGATGCCACAAGGACAGACGCCACACACTATTGTTTTATTTGCGCATAATAACTTAGTAGATGCAGTGATGCCTGGAGATAGGGTCTCTGTTACTGGAATTTATAGAGCAGCAACACATAAACCTAATTTTGATCACAATTTGCAAGCCATTTATAAAACTTATATTGATATAGTTCATTTTAGAAAGCACAACTCTAAACGGTAAGGAAATAAACAAATTCTAAAATTTGTTTTTATCAGTTGTTTATTTTAAGTTATTCATAGGTTATATGATCAAGAAGATGGAAAAGAACATAATTTTACACCGGAAAGAATAGAAATTTTGAAATCGTTGTCGCAAAAGGGTGACATCTACGAACGATTAGCAAGACATATTGCTCCTAGTATATATGCAAATAATGATGTAAAAAAGGGAATTATATTACAATTGTTTGGAGGAACTAGAAAGACTTTTACTATATATGGCAAGCATTTTCGACCAGATATTAATATATTACTCTGTGGTGATCCTGGTACAAGTAAATCACAATTATTACAATATATATACAATTTGGTACCACGATCTCAATATACTAGTGGCAAAGGTAAAGTAAAACAAGAGTAAACAGTTTAATAGAATTCGATATATTTATATATTTATGTGTACTAATGTATGTTTTAGGTTCCAGTGCAGTTGGTTTAACAGCTTATATAACAAAAGATCCAGAAACTGGACAATTAATATTACAAACAGGAGCTTTGGGACTTGCAGATAATGGGATATGTTGTATTGATGAATTCGATAAAATGAATGAAAGTGCAAGATCAGTACTACATGAAGTAATGGAACAACAAACTTTGAGCATTGCTAAAGCTGGAATTATTTGTCAATTAAATGCTAGAACTAGTATACTTGCAGCTGCTAATCCATGTGAATCTCAATGGAATAAGAATAAAACTGTACGTTTTTCATCAATTTTATATGAGATAAAATCTTGTAATGTAAATACCTTAAATTATTCCTGTCATTAACGAACCTATAGTCTTTCACGATCTTTCTATATATACTTTCTTTAGTGATGTTATGTTTTTATTTCTGTAATCACGAGAGCAATGAGATAATCTGGATTTTGTTTGTAATAAAGAGATTTCAATTGTTTCACCAACAACATAACAACTTAAGACAATAACGTTACAAGGTTTAACCAGTATACGAATTTTATTGTGGTTATAGAGTGCATTATATCAGAATATATATTTTCAGGTGGTTGAAAATGTGCAATTACCACATACACTGCTTTCACGATTTGATTTGATCTTTTTAATATTAGATCCACAAGATGAAGCATATGATGGTAGACTTGCAACTCATATGGTATCTTTATACTATAAGACAATAGAGGAAGATGAAGATGAACTGATAAATAGAAGTATTGTTCGTGATTATATAGTTTTTGCAAAAGAACACGTTCACCCTGTCCTGAATGAAGAAAGCCAACAAAGACTGATACAAGCTTATGTTGATATGAGAAGAGTTGGAAGAGGATATGGACAGATAACAGCATATCCTAGACAATTAGAGTCTTTGATACGTTTATCTGAAGCACATGCTAAAGTGCGATTGAGTTCCGTTGTAGAGTTGCAAGATGTTGAAGAAGCATGGAGGTTATATTAATTGATAAGTATATAATAATATCAATAGAAACCTTTTAAGTAAATCTGGATATTTAATTCATTATCAATAGGTTGCACAGAGAAGCTATAAAACAATCAGCAATTGATCCATTAAGCGGAAAAATAGACATAACTATCTTAACTACAGGTATATCTACAGGAACTAGGAAAAGAAGGAAAGAACTATGTGACGCAATTCAAAAACTAATTGAAAGCAAGGATAAAATTCATATACTTAATCAACAAAAACTTTTTGCTGAAATAAAACAATCTTCTGAATTGGTTAGTAAAAGTATTGTACATATAAGTATAATTGTTATAATATGTAAACATCAGTATCTCAGAAAACTTTTGAAAGTTGTTATAATTTTTAGCTTGTTACACGAGATATGTTTGATGATGCTTTAAGAGAGCTGCAAAGTAATGGATTAATAACAGTAATTGGGAGAAACAATATTCGTATTTCTTAACTTATTTTGTATACTTCATCATTTTAAACTAGACTTATGTGTGAACAAAGTATATATAAAGCAATGAATATATATTTTTATTATCTTTTGCAAATTTGTATTAAATATATCTTTCATCATAAATTAATGTTATTTATTATGTGTAATATCCTCAATCACATAATCTTAAATCTTAATCTATATGATTTTTATCATCAAATTTTTAAATATATAAAGCAGTGGTTCTCAATCTCCTTCTTATAAATGTATATCACCAATATATTAAATAGAAACAAATTGGTATAGTAGTATATTAATCCGGGCCCTTCCACATGATAATTTATCAATTAACAGTAATTAGTGGGTTGATAAATTAGAAACTGTAGGTTACAGATTCGTCTTTAAGAATTTTGCAACAAATAAGATAATCAAACA